CCAAGTATGGTGCCATTCTCTTAGGACTGGTCCCTCCTCCCTTCTGGCAACATGCCTAAAGTATGTCAGACAGAGTGTCAAAATCCTTGCCCTCAAGGAGTGACTTGGTTTCACCTTCTCCAGGACAAACTGTTTGTTCTCTAGTTAGTCCATGGTATGTTTGACACTCTTCTCCAGTACCACAACTCAAAGACATCGATTCATCTTTTGTCATTGTCCAGATTTATGATGCATAACAAGTAACTGGACTTAATGTTTTGATTGTGTCCGTGTCTTGACTATGTGTTTTGCTCAACTGATTCTCTATATTGATCCATATCACACTCTTTTTTTAGTATCTTGTTAAAATTTAATTCATATTTGCAGGTAACTCTATTTCTTTTTTTTTATTTTACTGATTTATTTTAAAAGTTTGAATGCATTGTTTTTCACAAATGATCCTTCCCATTTCTTTCATCCAGCCACCCATCAAATTGTGCAACCCTATGATTAATACCCTACCCCCCCAATCCTCACTCCCCTATTCCCACCCTCTCCCCCCCACCTTGAATTCTCATACTCATTTTACAATAAAGGTTTTACAGTATTTGTCCTTGTGGGACTGAGTTCATTCAGCATACTTATCTCCAGTCCCTCCGAAGGAAGGTAGCAATTTACAAAATCATTGCTCCTGTGTGCTGCATATTATTCCGTTGTATGAATGCACCACAACTTCTCCATCCATTAATTTGTGGTTGGACATCTGGGTTGTTTACATGTTCTTGTGATAGTGAATAATGCTGCTATAAACATTGATGTACAAGTTTCCATTTGAGCTTCAGTTCTCATTTTCTTGGAGCATATTCCAAGCAATGGAATAGCTGGGCCATACGGAATGTCTATGTTTAGCTTTTTTTTTTTTAAAAAAAATTATTTTCCTACTAGTTTATTTACAAAATTCAAACACGAATTTGAACAAATTCTTTCAATTTCCCTCACACCCCCACCCATCAAATTGTACAACCCAATGATTAATTCCCACTTTCCCCTGCACATCCACATCCCTCTGCTTTCAGCCTCTCCCACCCCTCCTGGATCCTTATACTCATTCTACAACAATGGTTTTAAACAATATTTATCCTTATGGGACTGAGTTAGTTCACTCAGCATAATGCTCTCCAGTCCCTCCCAAGTTAGTTAATAATTTACAAAGTTATTGCTCCTGTGTGCTGCATAGCATTCCATTGTGTGAATGTACCATAATTTCTCAATCCATTCATTTGTGGTTGGACATTTGGGATGTTTTCATGTCCTTGCAATGGTGAATACTGCTGCTATCAACATTGGTGTACAAATTTCAGGTTGTGCCTCAGTTCTCATATGTTGAGGGTATATTCCAGCAGTGGAATAGCTGGGTCATATGGAATTTCTATGTTCAGGTTTTTGAGGAGTCATCAAACTGCCGTTCAGAATGGGTGCACCATAACAAACATTTGCTAATTGCATCTCAGACAAGAGTCTTATAACAAAAGTTTACAGAATACTCCTGGCACTCCACAAGAAAAAAAGACTGATAACCCAATTATGTTTAGCTTTTCGAGGAAGTGCCAAACTGCCTTCCAGAGTGGTTGTACCATTGTACAATCCTACCAACAATGTATAAGAGTTCCTATCTCACCACATCCTCTCTAATATTTATTACTTGCTGCCCCATTAAACTTTGCCACTTCTACTGAAGTGAGTTGGGGTCTCATTGTGGTTTTGATTTGCTTCTCTCTTATTGCCAGTGATCTGGAGCATTTCTTCCTCCTGTTGGTCATTTGAATACCTTCCTCTGCGAAAATTCTTTCCATGTCTTTTGCCCAGACTCTTTCCTGTGGAGGCCCAGGAGTATTCTATAAACTTTTATTGTGAGAGTCTTTTCTGAGATGATATTATCAAATGTTTGTTCCTAGTCAATATGTTTTCATTTCATCCTGTTGGGAAGAGTTTTTGATGAATACAGAGATTTAATCTTTAGAAGGTCCCATTCATCAATTTTATCCTCTTCAGATTCTACATTTCTGACTATATTTGGCAGTTTCTTTATAGCAAAGACTAGGGCTTCTAAGCTTGATCCCAGTTTGTCTCTTAGGAACTTTATGGTTTTGGGCTTTACTCCCAAGTCTCCTATCCACCTTGAGGTGATTTTTGTGCATGATGTGAGATGTAGATTCTGTTTCAGCTTTCTGCAGGTAGCAGTCCAGTTTTGCCAGCAACATTTGTTGAAGAGGTTGTCATTTCCCCATTTGATAGGTTTTATTTCTTTGTCGAATACCAATCACCATAGATATCTGGGTCTATTTCTGGGCTCTTAATTCCGTTCTGAGGCTCTATGTGCCCATATCACTCTCTTAAAAGTTGCCAGTCCTTGTCATCAATCTTATTTTACAAATTTATATTGCATGTATGAGTATAGTTCTATTCTTAATCTAGACCAGCCAACACTTCTGGTGGTGATGTCTGCAAGGAGTTGTGCTGCCAACTTAGAGGTAGCACCTCTGAAAGTTCAAATACAACAAAGACTCCTTGGGAGAAAGATGGGAAATTTACTCCTGTGAAATTTGCAGCCTTCGGGAGGATCAGCTATGAGTCACTTCCAACTTGGTGACAATGAGACAGTGAGAGTTAATAGCTCTCGCATATTACCGTATCACTTTCCTATAGTGGACATGGATGTCTAACCACAGCGTACATAGGGTCGCTATGAGTCGCAGGCGACTCGACGGCACATAACAACAACAACAACAACCTTCAAGTCGGAAACTGAGGAGGACCTGATAATATGCTGCAGAAGATCAAGTAGTCTTCAATTTTTTTTTAATTTTTATTTATTTTTTTTATTATTTTAGTGTGCATGTACCGTCAAATCAGATCTGACTGGTACAGGAAGAGATTGCCCCTCCTTCCCCGGCAGAGCATCTGGTGGATTCGAACCATGCACCTCTGGGATTGTAGTTGCAGCTCCTTGCCACTAGGCCACCAGAGCTCCCCAGTAGTCTTCAATTTGAACTGAAGCTCAACATCAAGAAGACAAAGATTTTAAAAAAAAAAAAGAAGAAGAAGACAAAGATTCTCACCATTGGGCCAATTGACAGTACCACGATAGATGGAGAAGAGATTGAGGTTAACAACAATTTCAGCTTGCTTGGCACCAGCAGTCAGGAAATCAAATGATGAATTGAATTGGGGAAGTTTTTTTCTCAGGGACCTCTCCAAAGTGTTAAAAAACAATGATATTGTTCTAGAGACTAAGATGCATCTGATTCAGGCCATGATCTTTGCAATTACTTGCTATGCATCAGAGAGCAGGACATTTCCACTCAACAGCAGAAACAATTATTTTCTTAATATGTGTATGGAATTGGGAAAAACTATCTTTGGGCTTCAAAATACTCTGTGGCAGAGGTCTACTGTTAAAACAAAAATTAAGCCTTTAAAAAAAAGATTCACTGGACTAAGAGAAAACACAAGAACTAAGAAAAAAGCTTTTGTGATAGATAATTTATTATACCCTGAGCAGTCCTCTCATTCAAGTCTACGTAGCACAATTCTACTCTAAATTACGTGAAGTCAATCCAATGACAACTGATTTTATGGTGTAAATTTCCTGAAATAGATATATGAAAGAGGTTTGCTGTTGATGTTAGAGGCCTGCAAGTTGCCTTTCACTTACAGTGACACTATGTATACCAGAATAAAACATTACCCCGTCCAGCACCATTCTCTCTGCTGTGCCTATTAACTTTCCTAACTTAAAAAGGAGGAGCTCCCAATATCAGCAATTTATAAAATATTAACTTGAATGGAAAAAAAAGGAAGAACTCCAATGGTCTAATAGTTAAAAAATAAAATTAAAATAAGTTACTAGGCAAATGGTCAGTGGTTGGAATCCAATAGCTGCCATGTAGAAATAAAAAAGAAGAGATGATCTATTTATGTAAAGATTTAGAACCTTGCAAGCCCTGGAGGGCAATTCTGTTATGTCCTACAGGATGTCTATTAGCTGAAATTGACACAATGACAATGAGTGATGGGTTTAACCTAAAAAAACATTTAAGAACTACAACACAAACATATAGAGCAGAAGCAGATTCTCACGGGGATCATCAAATTTGATCTTGTTAAATTTGTTTTTTCAAATTTGATCTTTGCATTTGGGAGAATCATAATATGATATATGATTCATTATGATGGTAGAGAAATAAATTAACATTCCAATGAAAAAGTTAGTATACTAAAGAATAATAATCTATAAAATCTTTGTACAGTATTTATTTTTCCAAGTGAAACTTGAGGCAAAGAATAGTCTGTTTAAAGATGCTAGCAACTAGCAAGAGGGCAATAAATCAACAATGCATCGTGTAACTCCCAGTGATCTCTCGCTTCATTTTATATTTCCCTCGAAGTGATCATAATAACAAAGTGTAATGGCAAGAATGGCCCTTTCATAGAAATTACACAGTACAAATTGAATCGTCATTAATCAGAAAGGAGACTCCTGCATCGTATGGTATACTTATTTTAAGACGAGGCATTACAGGTAATAATGGCAGAAGCAGGGAAGACAGGATAGTATTTAAGAAAATTAGGTCAACTAAGGCATTAATGACTCAATAGTACATTTCTTGCCTTCCATGTAGGACAACTGGGTTCAATTTCTGACCAAAGTAGAACTGTATTACCTGTCAATGGTGACTTGAGTGGTGCTATGATTTTAAATAGGCTAAGATGGACTAGGAAGAAGGGCTTGGATACCTATTTCTGAAAAAAAAAAGTCAAAGGAAACCCCATGAACTGAAACTTGTAGCATTTTGTTTCATAGGGCTGCCATGAGATGAATTGGGACAACTTAATGACAGCTAACAAACTCTTTAGATAATACGTAAGACTTCCTGAGTTTTAAATACATAGCACATTCCTGTTGTGTAATTGTCTTAACATTATTTTTGCCTTTTTTGCAGACAAGTTCCAACATTTATATGGAACCAGAAAATCAAACAGCTATTTCAAAATTCATACTCTTGGGACTCTCGGAGGATATGGACCTGCAGCCTCTCCTCTTTGGACTGTTCCTCTACATGTACCTGGTTTGTGTTATAGGGAACCTGCTTATTATTCTGGCTGTTATCTCAGATGCCCATCTTCACACCCCCATGTACTTCTTCCTCTCCAACCTATCCTTCACTGACATCTGTTTCACTTCCACCACCATCCCCAAGATGCTGGTGAACATCCAGGCACAGGATAAAGTCATCACTTATGAAGGCTGCCTCAGCCAGATGTATTTTTTCATGATATTTGCTGGACTGGAAAATCTGTTGCTGACAGTGATGGCCTATGACCGGTTTGTGGTCATCTGCTACCCTCTGCACTACACGATAATCATGAACCCACGTCTCTGTGGTCTCCTACTTCTGCTTTCTTGGGTTATCTGCCTTATATATTCTTTGCTGCAATGTTTGATGGTTTTGAGAGTTTCTTTTTGCATAGAGACAGAAATCCCCCATTTCTTTTGTGAACTTGCTCAAATTCTCAAGCTTGCCTGCTCTGACACTCTTGTAAATGAAGTCTTGTTATACTGTGTAACTGCCCTACTTGGTGTTATTCCCTTGACTGGAATCCTTTTTTCTTATTCTAAGATTATTTCTTCCATAATGGGTATTTCCTCTGTTGGAGGGAAGTATAAAGCCTTTTCCACATGTGGGTCTCACCTCTCTGTTGTCTCCTTGTTCTATGGTGCAGGCCTTTGGGTCTATTTGACTTCTGGAACAGCTCATCCCTCCAGAAAAGGCTCAGTAGCCTCAGTGATGTACACAGTGGTCACCCCCATGCTGAACCCCTTCATCTACAGCTTGAGGAACAAGGACATAAAGGGGGCTCTGAGGAAGCTTTTTAGCAGAGGAGCTTGCCCTCAGTGAGATAAAGGAATTTAAGAACAGACAGTGCATTTTTTGAGGCAATACCAGACTATCTTTTCACAGTTGCACCATTTTACATTCCCATCAGCAATGCATGACAGTTCAAATTTCTCCACATCCTTGCCAACATTTGTTGTTCGTGATCCTGTTAAACTTTGCTATTGTTATGAGAGCTCTTAACAACAGCAATAAATTATTTCTAGAGTGAGATGATATCTCACTACTGTTTTGATTTGCTTGTCTCTAATAGCTTGTGATTTTGAGCATTTTTTCATGTGTTTGTTGGCCATCTGAGTATCCTTTTTGGTGAAGAGTTTTTTCATGCTTTCTGTTGATTTTTGATCCAGTTATTCCAGTACTAGGAATATATCCTAAGGAAGTGAGAGTTGAGATGCAAACAGATGTATGCACACCTATGTTTATTGCAGCATAATTCAAAATAGCAAGAAGATGGAAGCAGCCCAAGTGTCCATCAATAAATTAAAAAATATAAAAAGTGTGGTATATTCACACAATGGAATACTATGAATCATTAAAAAATAATTAAGAACTCATGAAACATTACACAACATGGAAATAAAAAGGATACATAGTAAACCCTATAATGGATTATGAGAAAGGAAGGTCAACTTGGAATGAATGGGTGAGTGGAAAATATGGGCATTGCTCTTAACAACTTGGAACAGGACATGTGTAAATGATTGAATGGAGAGAGGAAAGGGAAGAAGAAAAAAGATGAAGGGAAACAAAAAATGCTAAGTCAGCAGGTATTAGTAGTTGGATGGATAGGGTAAAGGGAAAGGCAAGGTACAGGGAGAATTTGATGAGACATTGTAATAAATGGCATTTATCAATTTTAATTAATGTTGTAAAACAAAATACACATGAATGATTGAATAAAAACCAACTTTTCAAAAGAGAAAAATATAGACAAAAGAAATCCAAAGTGCTGATGAGTGATGTTTCTGAATATATACTCTGAAGGCATAGAAAATACACTACCAAGATATTGTTGTTATTTATGTACTGTCAAGTTGGATCCGACTCATAGTTGATTCTCCAGTGCATTTTCAGAGGCAGTAAATCTTGTGGTAGAAGGCTTTCCCTTTTTCTCCCCTGGAGCACCTGGTGGATTTTTGAACCACATACTTCCGTATTGACAGAGCATTTGCTTACCACTAAATGACCAGTATTATCAACAATAACATACTAGAAGAAAATATTTCTGATTTGCTTCATCACCTTCTTAAGGAAAACAAATAATGCATAGGTAAAATTTTAATAAGGTTTCGTATGGATATAGCTGATTTCCTACAACCATCAAGAAAGAAGGCACACTGACTGCAGGAAAGGAGAAGAGAAGACAAAGGAAATAACAAATGATAACATATTATTGTCTCATCCATACTTCTTTTGCTTGTGTTCTTTCTAGCTTTAGGACAATACCTGGGAATCACACTTTTCTTTGGTCTCAGCCTAAAACTGTATTAACTTGACAGTCTCATACTGACCTCCTTTCCTTCATACAATTGTACTTAATGAATCTTACCTTGGGGGTTACCATCAACCTATCCTAAAGATAGCTTCTTTGAGCATCTTATTATCATCTCAACTTGAAGAGAAATAAAACTTTAGTCTTTGTCAATTCATTTGAATTGGTAGACTTGACATAAAAATCCTAAATAATCTGGATTTGTGTAATATTTCCCCATTTCCCCCCCATATTTCTAACATGTCCCCAAAGCTTCTTATCTTCCTGTGGCTTCCTATAAAAAATATCAGCTCTTCATAGAGGCAACCATGACCACTATATTCATATCTTTTCTAGTTTTAATTTTTTTCAAAGTACACATAAGAATTTTGAGGGCATTAGAGCATCATGGCTCTGGATTCAAACCTAAATTTATCACACACTAATGGTGCACTCTTGGACAAGTTATTAAAATTCTCTGTGCCTCTGTAAGAATACCTTTCCTCAAGGGTACTGATAAGAGTTATACAATGGAGATCAGAATATCACATGGCATAATATTATTTGTTGTTGTTACTTGCTGTTGAGTAAGGTGACTCAAAGATGCCTTGTGGTGGATATGAACATGCACGGCTAAGCACAATTGATAACAGTGCATCTAAATTCCAAAATCAATCTCCATAATAGTCTATGTGTTTCCTATTGCCAAAGGGGTCCTTTAGAGTAGTGAGAGAAGATCTTCACCCTGAAACCCACAGCGTCCCTTTCCAGCAGGAAGTAGCTAAGAGAATACACCGTCCCCTTTTCCTTATGAATCAGGGTGAAGTCTCTCTCAAGAAGGAGAGATAGGGAATGGCAAAGGACACACAGGAGATTAATCAGAACTGGCTTTGACAAGCAATTGGACAATTAAAACAGACTTTCAAGGAGGGGGAAAGAAGAACGAACTGGGGAGGAGGTTTAGAGAAAATAGTGCAACAATGAATGAATGAAAACCCCAAATCTCTGTAAATGTTCATTAAAGTTAATAAAATTTAATAAAAATTTTTAAAAAGATGCCTTGTGGCACAGCAGATAAGTGCTTGGTTGCTATCTTAAAGGTCAGCAGTTCAAACCTTCCAGCCATATTACTAGAGAAAGATGTGGCACTCTGCTTTTGTACAGCTTGAGGAACCCTATGAGGCCGTTTTACTCTGTCCTACAGGGATACTATGTTACACGTGAACGTTTTGTTTATAGGCTCTGACTTATGGTGACCCCCCCGAAATAAAAGCAAACAAAGTGTTACCATTTCTTGCATCATCTTTATGAAGTTTGGTATCTTTGAGCCCCCTGTTGTAGCTAAGGCATCAGTCCATCTCAGTGAACACTGCCCTTATTTTTGCTAGCTTTCTCCTTTATTAAACATGATATCCTTTTCTGGTGATTGGTCTTGCATGATCGTATGTTCAAAGTAAGATAAACTTTTGCTAGTTACTCTTCCAAAGAGCTTTGCAGTAGTATTTCTTCTAAGAGTGTTAATTCTTCTGGCAAGTCACATGATATTCAATATTCTGTATCAAGAAAGATTTTAAAAAGCCACACCAAAAAAAAACCCAACAAACAAGAAAAAGAACGATTCAAAGATGATTCAAAAGCACAATTGTTTTCCTTCTGTGCTTTCTTTTCATTATTGTTTTGTATTTGCATGCTTTACCTCTACTGATGCTCATTCCAACACATTGGAACCATTTAGAACAGAGCAGGAATGCTCCATAGGCTTTAAGACTGTAATCTTTATAGATGCAGAAGGCAACATCTTTCTCTTGTGGAGATGCTAGTGATTTCAGACCACTGATATTTCAGTTAGAAGCCACACACGTAAATAGAACATCAACAGGACTCCTTTGACAAAACCTATGATCAGTAAGCACTAACCGAGATATAGATTGTCTGAGGCTGTGTGCCTCCCCTCAGCCTTTACGAAGGGCAGCGAAGAAGTATGAGACCCTGTTCAAGGCCCCCATGCTAGAGTTCAGAACTTCCAAAGTCAAGTACAGAATTTTTGTGTGGTTTTGTGAACTTTCTTGAAGCCAAACTAAGAGCTAAATCAGAGAATGGTGATTTCATAGCAGTACTCTAACAACAAGGAATTGGGAAGACAAGGCCTCCTTTACATTAATTTAGTTCCATCGGGAGATTTGAACTGACGGGGGAAAATGTATTAGGTTTACTTAGGACCAAACCCTCTTGATGAGGTCTGGAATCTGATAGATCTGTTTGAATCCTAACTTCATTCCTTACGAAGATATTTAGTCTGTCTCCAGAAAGTTTCAAGTTCCTGGTTTTTAGGTTATTTAGTAGCATTCTGAGCCTCTACTTATTAGATGTTAATAACATCACAACATCACAATAAAAAATATCTCCAGACAGTGTCTAATGTCCTCTAAGAGCAAAACGTAACACAAAACCAATAAAGCTATCACTCTGCCATGACTCAGAAGAGTCTAGAAAAGTGAATGAAGAAAAAAATCAAAGCAAGGAAAGACCATGCTTGTCCTGAGCAGTCCTGACCTCTATTCAAGGCAATCTTTGAAGGAAGCTGACCTAACCAATGCATTTGTTGAATAAGTAAATATTTTTAGTGATTTTGAAACTTCAAAGATTAGGAATCTTGTCTATTCTTCACACTTGTTTTTAATCTACAATTCAATTTTTTTAAATAAAATTTTTTACTTTGTCATTTTAACAAAAGTTTACAGAAAAGTTAGATTTTCATTCATCTATTATTGCATATTTTACCCCTTCTCCCTCCCTTTCTCTTCCCCAAGTTGACTCTTCCTCACTAGTTTATTTACAAAATTTTAATATAAATTTGAACAAATTCCTTCAATTTTTTTATTGCCATCAAGTTGATTCCAACTCATAGAAATTCTGTAGGACAGATTAAATTTGCCCCAAAGTTTCTAAGACTAAAGCCTTTTTATGAAGATGGTTACATCCTGTGTTACCAAGTGATTGGTGGGTTTGAACTGTCAACTTTTCAGGTAATTAACTTATAGTGACCCTCTATTTGATTTCTGGGGCTATAAATTACATAGAAGAAGATCATTCAACTTTCTCTTGAAGTCCCAGAGAGGCATGGCCTTTGAGTTAACCGTGTAACTCATTATAAACTATACCAGTAGAGATTTATACTGCTATTACAACCAACAATAGGAAGCTCTATACTAAATAAATATTAATGAAGTTGGCACAGGATAGAGCAGGGTATATGGCTCTTTTTTCATTTTTATTATTTTTTGTGTGTACCATCAAATTGGATCTGACTGGTACAGGAGATTGTCCCTCCTTCTCCAGCAGAGCATCTAGGGGATTTGAACTGCTCACCTCTGGGATTGCAGTGCCGCTTCTAGCCAGTAGGCCACCAGAGCTCACCAATTTAGGGCTCTTGTACATAGGATTGAGTGATAAGCGACTCAACATCACATAACAACAACAAGTTAAATAATAATAGGAGGGCCTGGGTAGCACATATAGTTAAGTACTC